GGTTTTCTTTAGTTCCTCACATGAACAGGTCAGCTTTCTATTTCTTGTAGATGAAGGAGTTTCCTTTTTCTTTTTTTTTTAGTGATGTATCATAGTTTGAGTTGGGTATGATTTGATTTTTTGCTTTTTATCTTTTGAATGATGATTGGTGTTAATTGGGTTTGATTCTTATTGGTATTGGAGTCACTAGAAGGATTTGATTGTGTTTTGCTAGGAAGTGAGTTTCTGATATACACTGTATGTTTGTGTGGATCAATTATTTTGATTTGATCCAAGTTTAGCTTTTGCCTTAGACTTAATTACATGAATGGTTTTGAGTTTTAATTGCTTGTAATTTGAGTTTCTTTGGTCAATTTTGGTCCTTTACTTTCATGTGTTTATATAAATTTGTTTTTATCAGCTTATTGTTTTGTTTGTCTCTTGGCTATAGTAATATGTAAAGAATACTCATATCTGACATATGATTTCCTGCTTATTTGAATAGTTCTTTATTTATGTGCCCTTATGGTTATGCGTTTGGTTTATGTTAATTGTCAATCTTTAATTTATGAGCTAAATTTTTTTATTTTGTCGGCTTCAATGTTTATATGTTTTGTTTACAGAGATATATGTTTTCTTCAATGAGATAATGATTTTTCTCCATTGATAATGTATGCATGCCTATTCAAATCTTGCGTTTATCAATGTTTTATACCAAATTCGTTTTTCTCCAGTTTTGAATCATGAATATGGCGTATAAGTTTCTTATTTAAGGTTGTATATGTTATGATATGTGTTTCAGTTGAATTCTAGTTCTATTCATTCTCTAGTGAGGGTAGTAATCTTCAGTGAAAAATGGTGGCTAATAAATGCATGCATATGTGGATATGGTGATTGTTTTAGCAGTGTGAGTAAATTCTGATTTAGATTAACATTGAAATGTCTGTCTGTTTGCTTTTTCGCCTTCACAACCATCATTAGGGCAGAACTCAGAAGGGATCTGTTTCATCCTTTTCCTTACTTTCTTTTCTATTCCATCTTTTTCTTTTTCCTTTTTATTATTCCTTTTGATGTTCTCTGAGTTTCTTTTTTCATTTGTCTATTACAGTGTCAAATCTCAGGTTGGATTCTTGATTTCTTTTTTGGAAGATTGGAGTTTAGTCTGTTTTAAGCAATCAGTATCTTGGTCAGAAATCAATTTAATTTGAGGGGGCATGGCTGACGGGGGAATTTCGTTTGTTTACTCACAGAAAATTTCCTGTGGTTTAGGCAGAGCTTTGGCCTCAGCTGCTCTTGAATGGTTGCTGATTTTTATGCTATTTGTTGATGCTATATTCTCATATTTAATCACAAAATTTGCTGTTTGCTATAAATTGCAAACACCTTGTTTGCTGTGCTCCAGACTTGATCATGTTTTGGGAAACAAAAAGTTGAAATTCTATTGGGATTTGATATGTGGCCATCATAAGTTGGAGATTTCATCCTTGGTTTATTGTCATGCTCATAACAAGCTTGTTGATGTTCATGAAATCTGTGAAAGTTGCTTTTTCTCATTTGCCACGACAAATAAGTCAAATGCTGAAACCTACAGATTATTGGTGGGTAAGTTGGGTGAGCATTCTGACTGTGGTCTCGATAAGAACCCATTGCATGATGGTCATAACCTTGAGCATTCAAGCTTGAGGCACTGTTCTTGTTGCAATGAGACATGGTTGCCAAAAGTGTATACAGAAAATTTGTTGCAGATGAAATCAGTTGCATCTAAGGCTGCTGAGGTACCCTCAGCAGCTTCTCTCGGAAGTAAACAAGATGAACATAAGGAAAGAGAAGATCCCTCTATCTCAGCTAGAGCTATAAGTTGCAGTAAAAGTGAACCTGATCCTCTTTCTCATATAGGGTATTCAGAGCTTAAGATTTCTTCAAATACTGAATCTGAAATTTCTGATGACGATGAGTCAAGTGCTCTAATTCATGAAACTAATGATCTAAAAGAAGATATTGCAGTTCAATATGTGCAGCGAGAATCTCAAATTATTACTTTGTCTGATAGTTTTGCTTCAGATAAATTGATAAATCCTGCCTCTGCACTCCAGGCTCCACTTGTAGTCCCAGAGCTGCAACAGGATTTTATTGATTCCCTTGGTGGCACATTAATAGGATCTACAACGACAATTGGAGATGACTTGGGAGAACTTAATTGGCAGCAAACTAGTGACAAGACCAATCCCTCTACTGTTCCCGAGCTTATTTGTCTTCATGATGTCTCCAAATTATTAAATGTTGAGGATACCCCTGAGACTGTATCAACATATGGCAGGTTTGCTTCCTTGGAGGATGTCCCTACTTTGCCAAACACCAGTGTTACCCCTATTCAATTCCAAGTGTCAAAAGACACCCAGGTTCATGATGATGTCCCTCCATCATCAATTGACAGCGAAACTCCTCTTGAAGAGTCCAAGGAAGACAAGCTTATATCAGAGGTTGATCTTCCTCCATCATTTATTTCCATTGAAGCATCAAATCAAGGTAGTAAGTTCACACCTTTTCCTTTTCTTTTTATCCCCACAACTTTGCACCCCTTTTTAAACATGTATAAAAATTAAAATCTATCTAGAAGTATTGGACAAAACAAAAATGTAAATCTACCTTTTGTAGCAGGTTACCTTGTAGAGATGTATATCCAGGCTGTGTTTTGTTTTTTACCATGATATCCAAATTATGTACACATGTATGGTTAAATCACCCTTTCTTTTATAATATAATTCTTGTCTTAGTAGGTAATATGAGCACTGCTGAAATTGAGGATGTAATTTTGATGGAGAGTGAGAAAACCAGTAAGGCCAAACATGGGCAAGTCACAAACAATCAACTACCTCTGGAAACAAACAATGTTGCAAGTGACAGTAGCAACCAAACACCTAGTTTGTTGGAACTTGGTGATGCTTACAAACTAGCTGTGGGAAGTAGAGGAAGACAATTGTCTGGTGCATATGCTGAGCATTTGTTGGGAAAGGATTCTTCAAGACTTGGTGAGGATCTGAGGATCTTGTTGTCACAACTATCCACTGCTCGAAGTATTGAGCAATCAATAAATGATATGAGTCCTAGGGTGTCTGTAAATACCGATGAATTGAAGGCTTCAGATTCATCTACGTTAAGTGGAATGCAAATGCTTCAAAAAATGGCCTCACTTGAGAGAAATGAGTCTGGTTTGTCACTGGATGGAAGCATTGTCAGTGAAATAGAAGGTGAAAGTGTAGTTGATCGGTTGAAACGGCAGGTTGAGCATGACAGAAAATTATTGAATGCTTTGTACAAGGAATTGGAGGAAGAAAGAAATGCCTCTGCAGTTGCTGCAAATCAAGCTATGGCCATGATTACTCGGCTGCAGGAGGAGAAGGCAACTCTCCACTTGGAAGCCTTCCATAACTTAAGAATGATGGAAGAACAAGCTGAATATGATATGGAAGCACTGCAAAACACAAACGACCTCCTAGCAGAGAAGGAGAAAGAGATTCAAGATCTAGAAGCAGAGCTTGAATTTTACCAGAAGAAGTTTCCCAATGAATCAATGTTGGAGGACTCAGCAGAGACAGCTTTTAGTTTGAAGGCAAGAGAGAAAGTAGGGGGTCATACAGAAGTTAATTTAATTGAAGAAAGCTCAGGTTTTCCTATTAACTCAGTTAGTGAAAACCCTAGTCTCTGTCACAGTTTTGATGAAACCAACATGTCATGCATGAAGAACAGTGGTAATATCAGCTCATTGTTAGAATTTGAAAATGAAAGATTAAATATTTTGAACTGCTTGAAGCAGTTGGAAAAGAAGGTCTACCAGTTTCCTAATAATGGGCTCTACTTAAATTCAGTTAATGGTGAATGTTCTGTTAATGAAGGGGATGAGTTTACTGATTCAGATGATCATGAACAAAAAGCAGGGTCCAGAGTAACTTGTGGAATAGAAGGAAGTCTTATGCAAAATGATGTTTGTGCAGAAATAAATTCGCATGCTCATGTAAATATTTCCTCACTCCAGGGTACTCAAGGTGACATTGACAGTAGTAGAGAAAACCCTCCTGTGCTTTGTAAAGGGGGTGATATAGCTTCTCTTGCAGTTGAGATTTCTAATCTCAACGAGAAGTTGGAAGCATTAAAGACAGACCTTGATTTTCTTGAGCATGCTATTAGCTCAGTCAGAAAAGGACATGAAGGGCTTAAATTTATTGAAATGATAGCTTCTAATCTGCAAGAACTACGAAGAATCGTGACAAGAAATAAAGATCAGGCTATTGCTTAAGGTTCCATGTACATTAAGCATGGTGAGTTCTCTAATCTTTTTTCAAAAGATTTTCTGCATTTTTTTTTTTTGTTTTTTTAGTATCGTTTATGAACCAGACAACTTATTTTAGCTTATTAAAGCCAATATCTTTTAGAATTGTTAGTATTTTTATTGCATGTCTTGTTCCCCCTCTTTCCATAGATTTGCTTATAGATGGTATGATGCATGCATTGTTTAATTTTAGTTATGATTATTGGATTCTCAAGCTTCTTCTTCTGCTAACTTCTTTCATTAGTTTCATCAGATGCCTGCAACCGATGATGTGATGATGCTTAGAAAAGTTCAAACATACCAAAGTCACAAACTGAAGATGTGCGATCAATTGTACAGTTACCAGTTTGTTTTATCCATATAGTGAAGAATGAAGTATAGTTGGAAATTCCTCAGATTGCCTTCATTAGTGCTCTTTTTTGGCCAGGGTTTTCTTAAGGTAGATGACACGCATTGCTTAATACCCATCTACTATACACACGGTTTTTGATTCTTTTTTTCCTTTTTAATTTTTGCTGTTTGAATGTATATTTAAAAAAAAAAA